GAAAAAAGCGCAAATATTTCGCAATTTTGGCGCGCCCGGTAACTGGTGAGCAGCTCCGGTACCCAATAAGGGGCGAGAAGAAAGACTCGACAGTAAGAAGTTTACTGAAGGCAGCAGGTCAAAACCACACGGCGGTACAAAAGAGAGGGAAAGAGTGAGATAACGAAGGAGCCGTTTTCAGCACGAAAGTCAAACGTGGACAGTAGCAAAGAAAAGCACTCATATCCTAGGATTTTTGAAAGACACATGTACACACACACCCTTAAAACCGCCTAGTTCATTTTCTGTTTTGCTAGGTTGGCTTTAATGAGGACGTCCGCGGTGTTGTTGAAGACGAGCTCAATGTTGTCGGTGTCCGTGGCGCACGTAAAGTGCGAGTAGATTACTTTGGCGGGATTTTTGTTCAGGGCTTGAAAGCGTCTGCGAATGTAGCTGCCCGCTTCATCTGGCTCGTTTGCACCTGAAACAACAAGTTGGCGACAGAGCATTGAGGGGGAGGGGGGAGCATAACTCTGACGAAGAAGCACAACAAACGCAAATGCCTTTGGCACGGTGAAGGTTACCGTGGGTATGCTGAGAACCGACTAATTTAAAAAGTTCGGCAAAACTGTATTGTAAGCCGCCTAAATATCTATTCCCCCGCCTAACTATCTAACTTATTTTGTGGTCAAACATGTAATTCTGGTTAGTGAGCGTAAATGAATATGTAATTGTGGTGGCAGTAATCAAAAATATTGAATTAAAGAAACATACACTTGTTTCAATGTACTAACTCGGAAAAAATCGTCAACATAAACTCTTGTTGGTCAGGATACTGATGTCAATTGAGGGAAATTCAACCTTATATTGGCGGACTTAACACAAAGAGGATAACTGGGTCACTGAAAATGTAAAAGCAGGTTATTGTTATAAGTCAAAGGCAAAAAGGACCTCCAAAGACAGTTCTGCCAAAAGCTCGAAGCAAGTATCTAAAACTTACACGTCAGGTAGCGCACGCGGATGTCCAGTTGGTATTCAGACGGTTGAAAGGAGGGTAACAGAGTTTTATATGGATGACCACGGAACCCAACCTAACCCCTCCAGAATTCGGCAATACGTGACCGGCAGTAATGATAATTTATTTCTAGTTTTAATTTATTACATTAATTTTTTAAGTTTATTCTTAAATTACCGCACGTTTCGTCATTGATATATATATTAGCTTTTTTAAAATTTTTATCTACTATCTCCTGTCCTTGCATGATATATTTCTTTTATTTTCTATCCTACTTAGCACCCGTATTGCGCCACCCGTATTACCCCTATTACCACCGGTTTCGCAAAAACAGATTTCTGGGAGTTTTTGTCCGTGGTGATCCATATACTACAGAACGGGCCAGAATTCGTGCAACATAGCAACACTTGTGAAAGATTGATACTCACTCAGTAATCGGCATTAAGTAAGGTTATAATATTGATTATCATGTAGACAATTATCAAGAAATTTCAGTAAAGATATGATGCCGGTTGTTTAACGAGCTTCCTTCTGACTGCTAACAAAAATATTTACAGTAAACAGTGGCTACTTAAGTAGTATGCATTTTTACCATTGATTTTGACTGCTTTTATAAATTCATATATATATATATATATTTTGGGAGAAACATACACGAAAAACTTCTTTCATGCACTCGTTTGATAGAAAATTACACCTCCTTTAAATTTCACACATAAAAAGGGTTTCTCTAAGTTTTAAAAAAAGTT